TATGTTTCTTAAGTTCTTAAAATTTATTTTAAGAGCTGAAATCATTCTTGAAATAGAAATTTTGCTTTGTCTGAATAAAAAACACCCTAGCATCAAGACTTATTATTCTTTGTAACTATATGCATAATTAAAAATGAATAGATAAATTAAAGGTATAGCAGCTCTGTTTAGTTAGTAGAAAGTTTTGTTTATATACAATTAAAACCATTGACCAATATTTATTTTAAAAAAAAAGTTAAAGACATCTCAATCAGCAATTTTAATCATTTTGAATTTCTTTTTTTTTCCAGATGATTTCATTAAAAACTAAAATTTAATCCCTTTGCACAACATTTCATATATACTCCTAAGCACTACATGTTGTAGCTTGTTCTGTGCGAGTATGAGAAACAAACTGCACTCTTAGCAGAAGACATTGCATTCATAGTGATATGAATGCAACTGGTGAGCAGTCTCGATGAACTCCAAAATGTGTGAACTCTAAAAACGAAGTCTTTGGCTCCATCATGCATTGTGGCAAAATGGCATCCGATGTAACAAACGATGGGGAACATACTAAAGACCTGACCTACTAAAGACCTGACTGACCTGACCAACATAATTTTCTCCAAAAATCAATATTCTGAATTTTTATATCAAGTTTTTCATGATAATTTCTTAATCATAAGTTGTGATTCAATTGAATAAAGATTTATTCAATCATTTTTACCAAATTTATTGTCATTTATCAATTCATTTCATGAAAATTCAATGACCTGACCAAAGTTGAAATGACCTGACCAAATGATAATCATTCATAATTGTTACCTTTTTAAAAATATTTGATACATTTTTCAAATTTGTTCTCTATTAAAATGATTAATACTTTGAATAAAATGTTTTTACCAAATATTTAGCCTTTATCCATTCATTTCATGATAATTTAATGACCTGATCAAATTTGAAATGACCAGACCAAATGATAATCATTATTAAACTGTCTTTTTAAAAATATTTGATACATCTTTAAAATATGTTCTCTATTATAATGATTAATACTTAGATAAAATGTTTTTAGAAACATTTATACCAAATATTTAGTCACTTATCCATTTATTTCATGATAATTTATTGACCTGACCAAATATGGAATATGACCTGACCAAATAATAATCATTCATAATTGTAATCTTTTTTTAAAGATATTTGATACATCTTAAAATATGTTATCTATTATAGTGATTAAAACTTAAGATAAAATTTTTTAGAAACATTTTTACTAAGTATTTAGTCAATTTATCCCTACATTCATTTCATGATAATTTAATGACCTGACCAGATATGGAATGACCTGACTGATCAGATATTTTTACTTCAAGCTTAAAACTCTTAACTTTTGTGTATGTCCAAGCACACACACTTTTTAAAATCTTTCTATTCTTACAGCTGAAATGAAATAATTTTTTTATATCCAAGTATAGATGATAAAATCAATATTGACCTATAAATCGACTGTACGATGACCTGACCGATCATTTTGAATGTATATTTTCAGATATTTATAAGGTGCTTTAAATAAAATTTGTCTTTTGTATAATTTTCCATTTATAATTAAATTATTAGTAAGTAATATCAAGTTTTTTAATATTATATGAATACATAAAGACCTGACCAATGTAACAAACTAAAGACTTGAAGGAAATTGGAAGTATATATAATTACAACTGTATAGATTGTTATGAAATCTAATTTAAACTAAGAGAATTGTTCAGAAAGTTTGGGGAATTTAACATAACGTCATGAGGTTCTAAAAATTACTCTTTCTATATATTTCACACAGAATGAATAACAGTGCACTCATTAAAAACATTTCTCTATCACTTAAAATTTATTTTGCTACGAAAACTAAGGATTCATCTTCCCATAGCTAGTGATGTCAATTTACATTACTGATTATAAGCAGTGCATGCATTCGTCATAAAACATCTCTCTTCAAAATAATTTCTGCATACAAGGATAAAAGTGATGATTATCCTCAGTCTTTATATTCACAAGACTTGTTCTTCTTATATGTTATAGGGTATTTTTTCTTTCTTTTTTTTTCTTCTTTTTTTCATTTTGAATAATTAAACACTTGATTTCTTTTCTTTAAACAAGCCAAAAAAAATCTTAATTTATTACCTTCAAGCATGCAATCTACTTTCAACTACATCTCTGAAATTAATAGTAAAGATTTTTTTTAAAGTTTGGCCTAACCATGTAAAACTCTGTTAAATATTTAAATCTGCAACTTTTGTCTAAACTTAATTAAATGTTTATGAAGGTTGCATGAAATTGTGTACATGAACACCTTTAATATAATGTTTTGTTGCTCTTCCCCCTTTTGTCTAACTTAATGCTGTTACAAAGTTATTAATAAACAAGTAAGTTTATTAATTTTTATTAACTTGAATTTTAATCAGTAGTGCAGTATATAAATGTAGTCCACTAGTTATACACAAGCTCCTTTGAAGGGATAAAAGTAGGTAATTGTTGAACAAACAATGGGTGACAAGTGCCCCTTTTGACACTTCTATCACAATATCAGAGTAATTAAGCGGATCAACAATTATCAAATTCACTATTTGATATGCAGTTTATAGATTTGATTTAAAGAAGCATTCTTTTAATTCATTTGATAATTTTCACACTCCTTCATTAAAAGTAACTAATTTTGTAAATATGTATACTATACACTTTGCTGTATCCATAATTGATTAAAAAAAAAACCCAATCAGGTTCAAGCACAAATTAAGAGCCCTCTATACACTGCACACTAGATTTCTGATTTTTTGGTATTTTTATGCAGATAGAGTGGTCTGCCCTTTGATCAAGAATAAAATAAAATGAAATGTACACTTTATTACTTAATTTGTGATCAAATCAAGCATTCATAACGGTTTAAAAGGCCGAGATGAATAGATAGAACACCTCATTTGCAGGTATTTTGCCCACTTATGTAAACAACAGTGATTTATGTTCATCAGTACTTCATTGTCTTTGAACATTTTTCCTGGGGGTAAATGCAAGGCAACCTATGTTGAAAATGTGATAGATAAGCTCAATCCTTACACCTTTACACACTATAACTTTCTCAATGTCCAAAAAATATTTTCCTCTAGTGTATAGAGGATCCTTAAATATTATTTCAATGATTTGATTTTGAACATGTTTTATTGTATATAACATACTAAAAAGATTGGATACAAGTTTTTTTTTTTTTCAACTTAATTAATAGATTCTTTCCTTGTTATATACACAATGATTACTAGATCTATATGCATGATTGTCATAACAATTTACAAATCATGTTATACATGCAGAAACAAGATAATAAATATATTGGAAAGGTTAGATAAATACTGGTACCGTAGATTTATTTTAGAAGATGCACGAAACTTTGATATTTTCAACTTTGTGCACTTTTGTATGTAATTTACATACTTAAGTGCACAAAACTAAGAATATCAAAGATTGTATATATTACATGTATCATTAATCAAGATTTCTTTTATGGTTATTTTTTTTCTTATTTTTTACCGTTTATTTATTTATTTTATAAAGTTCGTCTATTTGTTTTACTTAATGTATTTATGTCTTTGAACAATGTTAGTTTATATGTTTATATGGTCGGTCAGGTCTTTAGTAGATATGATCAGTCATAATGGCTGTTATTAGTGCATTGTGACTTTATTTTATTTTTTTGTTGAATGGATAATAACATTTATTCAATTATTTTGTGGATATTGGCTTTTTTATTGCTTCAAACTCTTGCATAATAGTAAAATGGATATACGACATCGAATTCAATACTACCGGTAAGAATTATTTTCTTGATTTATTATCTCCTTGATTCAAATTTTATTTCGTTCCTACAATAAAGGTGCTTTTATTTGTTTTTGAAGACACCCAGCTTGTATTTATTTTAATCAGAAAATGCGTATTTTTCACTATTGGGCAGAGATATTCACGGGTTCATATTCAGAAGACAGATGTGACCTTGATTTCTAGAGAAGTGGTTTTTAAATTTTTCATATTGATAGATAATAGTTTAAAAATGTTTTCATAATAATTTATTTCGTATATGATAAAAAAAAAATACATACATGTATGTAAATAACGATGGTAAGAACTTGTGCATTCAATTCAGATGTGGTACACAAATAAACATGATAAAAAACCGGAATGCTAAATTTTGTGTAAAATTCAGTCCAGTTTTTAACCGTTACAATATATATTGTTTTATTTTGCATATATATCCCTTTTATTATGCATATTTACTTCTCAAATGTATAATTTTCTCTGTAATTGATATACACAGTAACTTTAAACGTCAACTTTGAAAGTAAATATCTCCTTTTTTGCAAATAAAATAAAAAATCTGACAAATACGATCTCTTCTGAAGTCTTTTATTTCTGAGTACTGGCATAATTGCCACACTTTCCAAAACTTTGCACGGACACTTTTTGTAGACCCATCATTTTTACCGAAAAATTGCCAATTTTTATGTGTGTGTGCGCATGCATGGACTCTATTTTCGGAGTCTTTTTTAGTATCAATTTCTTCCGGAAATGCTGTTTTTGGATTTCGTCTGGTGAGTGTAGTGGGAGAAAACAGAGAGTATGCAAATATTTCCAAAAGTCCTCTGAAATTTCTTTTTAACATGTTAGATAAATATAAATATATTAGATTTGTTGCCAATCTTTGACAAAGGTTTATGCAAGTTTATGTTATTGGAGATCACTTTTTTGTAAACTCTTATTTTTGTGAGATACCTATTTGGTAATCATGAGTGACAATTTTTTGGTGTGTATAATCTTTAACAATGCAAATTTTTGCGAGAAGACTGTCTTAGATAAAATTATGAGAAATATAAAGCTACTGTGAGTGAAAAGTTACATACTGTGTTTTTCCTTAATATAGCCAGACAAGTACCATGCTTTTAACTTGCTTTATAAGTGATTTCTTTGTAAATTTACAGGGGGAAAAGGCAGGTTTTTTTCCATCTAGATCACCTACTCAAAGCTCTGATGAATAGTTAAACAACTAAAATCCTAATACCACTTAAACAAAGAATAAAAAAAGACAACTACACATGGAAGGTAGCTAATGGAAGGAGAAATCCTGAGGAATGTAACATCTGCTTGAACGCTGCAACCCCCTCAGAACACTTCCAAATACATAGTACACAGGGACACATACATTTGGGAAGGTATTCTCTGACTGGAGACACTTGATGGAGACCCATACTAGTGATAAACCTCATAAATGTGATGTGTGTGGAAAGGCATTCAGTCAATCAGGTAATTTAAATTCACACATGAGGATACATACAAATGAAAAACCTTATAAATGTGATGTGTGTGGGAAGGCATTCAGTCAATCCGGTAATTTAAATTCACACATGAGGATACATACAGGGGAAAAACCTCATAAATGTGATATGTGTGGAAAGGCATTCCGAGAAGGGAGTTCCTTACAGGCACATATGAGGACACATACAGGTGAGAAACCTCATAAGTGTGATTTTTGTGGGAAGGCATTCCCTTTCTCAGGTGAAGTACGCAGACACATGAGGACACATACAGGTGACAAACCTTATAAATGTGATGTTTGTGGAAAGACATTTACTATGTCACATAGCTTACAGAGGCACATTAGAACACATACAGGTGATAAGCCTTATAAATGTGATGTGTGTTGGAGGGCATTCAAAGATACAAGTTCCTTAAATGACCACAAGATGATACATACAGGTGACAAACCTCATGAGTGTGAAGTGTGTGGGAAGGCATTCAACCGATTAAATCACTTACAGACACATACAAGGATACATACAGGTGATAAACCTTATAAATGTGATGTATGTGAGAAGGCTTTCCGTGGACAAAGAATTTTAAAGCAACACATGGGAATACATATGGCTGATAAACCTTATAAATGTGATGTTTGTGGAAAGACATTTTCTGCGTCAGGTAGCTTACAGAGACACATTAGAATACATACAGGTTTTAAACCTTATAAATGTGATGTGTGTTGGAGGGCATTCAAAGATACAAGTTCCTTAAATGACCACAGGAGGATACATACAGGTGACAAACTTCATGAGTGTGAAGTGTGTGGGAAGGCATTCAACCGAATAAATCACTTACAGACACACACAAGGATACATACAGGTGATAAACCATATAAATGTGATGTATGTGAGAAGGCTTTCCATGGACAAACACTTTTAAAGAGACACATGGGAATACATATGGGTAAAAAAACTTATAAATGTGAAGTGCATGGAAAGTCATTCAATTCCTCAGGAACTTTACGCACACATATTGAGATTAATACAGGGGATAAACCTTTTAATTGTGATGTGTGTAAGAAGACATTCAACCAATCAGGACATTTAAAGAAACACATGAGGACACATACTGGTGACATACCTTTTAAAAGTGATGTGTATGAGAAGGCATACACTGTATCAGAACACTTACAAAAAATCATGAGGACACATACAGGTGATAAATATTACAAATGTGATGTGTGTGGAAAGTCATTTATTTACAAGTCCATGATAAAGGGGCATATGAGGATACACACAGGTGAGAAACCTTATAAATGTGATGTGTGTGGAAAGGCATTCAACCATTCAGGGAACTTACAGAGACACATGAAGACACATACAGGTGAAAAACTTTAAAATGTGATGTGTGTGGACGGACATTCAACAGATCAAAGTCTTACAGAGACACATGAGGCCACATACAGATGATAAACCTTATAAATATGATGTGTGTGGGAGGGCATTCTCTGTATCATGTAGTTTAGCAGCACACATAAAGATACACACATGTGATAAACCTTTTGAGTGTGATTTGGATGGTAAGGCATTCAACCATTCAGCTAGCTTACGGAAACACATAAGTACACCTACAAGTGATTAACTATGATAAATGATGGGTGTGGTAATAGATACAGTCAGTCAGTTGATGTATGTAACCTCCCCTTCCACTTTCTATATGAAGTCTTTGGAAAAGAGCTTTATCAGTCAAGGAAGTTAAATGAGACAGAGGTTTGAGGACAATTTCTTACGTGACAGCCGAGTGAGCTAACAACTGGAAATTGGTCTGGTCATACACAGAAGCACACGAGGACAATTATTCTGAAAATCCCATTGAGACTCTATAACCACCCCGCTAAATCCGTGCCTGAGACATTGTCACCGATTTTTTTCTGATCCACAGTGTTTACACGATGACAATGGTGAAAGCATTGTTTTCACAATTTATAGATGAATGAATAAGTTCAATGGCTAATTGATTGAACATAAGCCAAGTTCAAAAAATTCTTTGTTTGCAGTTGCCAACCTGTAATTTTTAGAATGAGTAGGTATGTAGGATTTTTTATTTGGGAGGGGGATTCAAATTTTTTTAGTTTTCAGGTTTTTGTTGGATAACAAATCATAGGGATTTTCGTAGAGCATGTAGAGTAACTGAAGAAAATAAGCTCCACTTAGTTAAAGCTACAAATGTAATTGACAAAATTTAAAAAATCAGTTTATAGAAAATGAAACATTTTCATTATCCTGAAAACTTGAACTTAGCCCCCCCCCCCCCCCCCCCAAAAAAAAAAAATATCTGAAGAAAAGGCTGAAAATTATTTTGAGTCAGATGCATTTTAAGTGGGTCGGTAGGCAAAAGCAAACAAAAAAAATATTTTAATCTTTATGTAATTGCCTATTTAGTATGTATGATAATAAATGCAAAATATACAAATACAATGGACACTTGCCTATTAAATAAGGTATTCAATATATACAGATATGTTTTTGTCATTTGCCTAGTGCTACAATTCAGTACAAAGAGACTTGGCTATACATCGTTGCTATTTGTCACTTATCTCCAACAACAACAAGTCACACTGGCTCTCTGTGATTCTTTGTTCACTTCGATAAAGTATACAATAACTTTATCCAGTCTCTTGTTAACCATGACTTTACCTGACAATAACTCATCAACTGTCAAACACATAACCACTGTGACTGTATTCTCATTCAATCAAATAACCTGTTAATTAAATTATATGCAGAATTTCTTGATTAACACAATCTCATTTGCTTCACTTTTTAGCTCACCTGAGCCGAAGGCTCAAGTGAACTTTTCTGATCAAAGAGTGTCCAGCGTCTGTCTGTCGTCTGGTGTCTGTCGTCTGTAAACTTTTCACATTTTCGACTTCTTCTCAAGAACCAATGGGTCAATTTCAACCAAACTTGCCACAAAGCATCCTTGAGTGAAGGAGATTCAAGTTTGTTCACAGGAAAAGCCGCGCCCTATTACAAGGGAAGATAATTAAGAATTCTATTTCGTAAATATCAATTACGAGACCACGTGAGATTGTACTGCGCATGTGCGGATTCGGTGTTCTGTAATTTGTGCTGGAGGAGGGACGCACTTCTCTTCTGTCAACGTGGTTGACGAAATTTATTTCATTGCTGTCAAACGAGGTTTGATAGGTTGCAGTTACGTTTTTGGGACGCGGTTCCTGCGTAGTTGTCTGTTTTAGCAGACTTTTTGCTTTTTTCCGTTTTTTCCGGTTGCACGTGGTTGATCGCACGTGGCTCCGACTATGGCGAACGCCATGTTGTCTCCAGAGAAAAACGCAGTTATTCCTGCAGATAAAGCTGAGGACAAAACGGGTAACACCAGAAAAAGAAAAGTTGAAACCACTGGTAGTAAGAAACCTAGCAAATCCATCAAACCAGACTCGGAGTCCAGTCAGCATTCAGTGGCTTCGTCAGCGAAGGACAGAGGCTCAGATGTTCGCAGATCTAATGCATCACCAGGCCCGAGTGGCTCTGACCCATCTATCACGGACGTGCTTAACGTTCTGAAGTCGATCCAGGAAAGTCAATGTAAGTCGGATCAGAACTCTAATAACTTAAGTCATCGTGTCGACTGTCAATGAACTTTTCAGAATGGCGGAGGATTACGACGATTGTGGCGATTATGGCGTTATTCCGGACAGTGACGTGGTCACTGTTAATGACGATATTGCCGCCGATCATGACAGATGTCATACTGCTGATACTAGTTCTGTTAATAAAAACTCTGCGACATCGTCAGGTGCTGACAATAAATTTAAATCGACGGGAGAAAAACTCAAAATCAAGGAGGTATGTGAAACTTATGTAAACTAAAGAGTTAGCTTCATGTGTTAATGACTGGTTTAGACAAGGGGTAGAAGATGATAGATACACTGAACTTACGAAAGACTCGGTGAATGCTAGACCAGATAATTGTGAAAGTCTAGTTACAGTAAAAACAAACCAGTTAGTATGGGGATTCCTTCAACCCAGTACTCGTACAGTGGACAAGAAACTACAAAATGTAGAGACTTCTGTGGTTAAAGCAGCTACCATTGTGGTTAAAGTGTGACAAAATTGGTAATTTCGATGACCCATGTGTCTTTGACTTGATAAATAGAAGCATGGAAGCTTTAGCTTTGCTGGGCCAGTCTAATTATCAAATCAACATGCTTCGCAGAGAACTTATGAAAACAAACATGAAAGGGGAGTATTCCCATTTGTGTTCACATAATGTGAAATATACGTCCTATCTTTTTGGGGATGATGTTCCTAAAACTGTGAAGGAAATAGGTGACTGTAGTCGCATTAGTAACAAACTAAGCAGTTTTCCTATGCAGCAAAGGTCTGACAGAGGTTTCTTTAACAGAAATAGCTTTGGTAACATTCGTGGACGAAGATCCATTTTTCAAAATCGGTCCACACAGGGACAGACCAGAGGTTACTCTGGATACAATGACCCAAAAAACTTCAAAGGTCGTCGAGGGAGCTCTTGACCCAACATCAGTAAGTAGACTTCCACGTAAGACAAAAATTTATTTCAGAAAATCAACTTTTTGTAACTGGAAGGTTGAAACAATTTATTTCTGAATGGGAAAAACTCACTTCTGATAAAAGCATTCTTGATATAGTCCAACATTTAGAGTTTGAAAATGACTCTCTACCAGTTCAAACTTCTCTTCCTCATCAAATAAAGTTTAATGAGAAAGAATGTTCATACATCAAGAAAGAGATTAGTAGACTTTTGGAAATGGAAGTAATTAAAGAAATTGATACAAACGATGTTGGATTTGTGTCGACTATTTTTCTTAGACCGAAACGCAATGGGGAATTTAGAATGATTTTAAATTTGAAAGAGTTGAATCAGTTCATTAAGTACCATCATTTTAAGATGGACACATTTGAAAGTGCTTTGAAGGTTATAACCCCTTATTGCTTTATGGCATCAGTGCATCTTAAGAATGCTTAGTATTCCATACCTGTAGCTATGGAACACCAAAATTTCTTGCAGTTTTCCCGGGAAAATAAATTGTTTCAATTTACTTCCTTACCTCAAGGTCTATCTAGTGCCCCTAGATTGTTTACAAAAATTATGAGGCCTGTATATGCTACATTACGAAGATTAGGTCATGTGAATGTGGGGTACATAGATGACTCTCTTTTGGTAGGAGACACTATACAGGAATGTAGCAAAGGTTCAATTGCAATGATCACAATGGTTGAAAAACTGGGATTTTTTGTGAATTATGAAAAATCAGTCATAAAACCAACACGAAAAATTGCTTTTCTTGGCAATGTTATTGATTCAGTTAACGTGATTGTTACATTAACAGATGAGAGAAAAGAAAATATTTTTAATGAATGCAAGAAATTGTATAACAAATCAGAGAAATCAATCAGAAATGTAGCATCAGTAATTGGTTTGATGGTTTCCAGTTTTTCAGCCTTTGAATTTGGGCCCCTGCATTATAGATCCCTTGAAAAGGAAAAAATTGCGGCCCTTAAATGTTCTTATGGAAATTTTGATTCTACAATGTGTATAAGTGATAAAATGAAGGACAACTTGTTATGGTGGATAAACAATGTTCACATTGCTTGTAGACATATACGTCATGGGTCTATAAATTTTGAAGTTTACTCCGATGCTTCATTATTGGGTTGGGGTGCCACCTTCAATAATCAAGAAATAGGTGGTCACTGGTCAGACACTGACCAGTCTTATCACATCAATGCCTTAGAACTTCTTGCATGTTTTTATGCACTGAAATCTTTTTTCAAAGACCAACATCATAAGTCAATCAACGTTATGTTGGATAATGTCACTGCTGTTAGTTACATAAATAATATGGGCGGCATTCATTCCCATTTATGCAATGAAATAGCAAGTCAGATCTGGGCTTGGTGCATTGATAGGACATCTGGCTATTGGTCGCTCACATACCTGGAGTAGATAATGTTGTTGCAGATAGAAAATCTAGAAAGTTTGAGGATCAAACTCAATGGAAACTAAATACTAATGTGTTTAATGATATAACTACTTTATTTGGAATGCCAAAATATTGATTTGTTTGCAAATAGACTTAATGCACAAATCGATACGTATTGTTCGTGGAAGCCTGACCCCAATGCAAGTTTTGTTGGTGCATTTATTGTTGATTGGAGCAAATATTATAGTTTCATTTTTCCTCCTTTTGGCTTGATAGGGAGGTGTTTGCAAGATCATAGAAGAAAGAGCAGAATGCATCATGGTGGTGCCAGTCTGGACAACTCAAGTGTGGTACAACAGAGTTTTGGAACTGTTGATAGAACATCCACAAATCTTGCCTCAACAGGAGGATCTACTGTACCTTGTACATTCTAAAGAACGTCATCCATTGAGAAAATCCATTGTGATGATGGCATGTCGTTTGTCGGGAGACATTTCAATAACTCAGGCTTTTCGTCTGACGCTACCAGTATCCTCATGGCGTCTTGGAGAGGCAGTACAAAGAAACAGTACAAGACTTTCCATACGAGATGGCTTTCTTTCTGTTGTGAAAGGAAAATTAATCAATTTCAAATTTCTTTAAATCATGTTATCGAATTTTTGACTATGTTGTACCATAATAACTTAGGTTATAGTGCTCTCAACACAGCCAGAGCATCACTGTCTGCATTAGGGTTTGTCATTGATTGACATGCTATTGGGTCTCACCCTGCTATTATTCGCTTTATGAAAGGGGTCTTTAATTTGAGACCTCCTGCACCTAGACATGAATATGTGTGGGATGTTACGACTGTTTTAAGTTTCCTTAGGAAATTGTCACCTGTGAAATATTTAAGTTTGAAAAATGAAATATATGGAGATAACAAACAGTATTCAAGCTCAAACGTCCATTAAACAATACAAAATAGAAGCAGAGCAAACACGGACCTCCAAACATCAGAGGTGGGATCAGGTGCCATGGAGGAGTGAGCATACATGTAAAATCTGTATGTTTATCTGTTTAACTTGTGCTGCTAGAATACAGACTGTTCATGCCTTAAAATTGAGTTGTATGCAGAAGAAGAAATCTTCATTTGTATTTAACTTTGATACTTTGTTAAAGACTTGTAGACCAGGGTTTCGTAGGCCAAACATTGTTCTTAAAGTCTATCCAGCAGATAGGAGACTATGTGTTTATACTGTTCTTGTTGAATATTTGAAAAGAACTTCCCATTTACGCAGTAATAATGATGCTTTATTCATTTCATATGTAAGGCCTCATAATGCT